CCCAGCATGCCATGCCTTGCGCTGGGGTGGGGGCAGGCTGCAGTGGCTGTTCTCTGGACCTTCTGGGGAGAGCCGCCCCAGGTCTCAGTTTTGCTGGCACTAGGGCCCCCTGGGGCTCTCCAAGGTCCCTCGCCAACTGCCTTAAGAGAACCTTTAAGAGAGGTTCCGGGAGTCCGGGTTGCGGCCTGGCCTGCGCCCCACCCTCCCGCCCTTCCATCGCCATGGTGGGGGTCCGCGGTTGCTGCCTGGCCTGCGCTCCGGCCCTCCCGCCCTCCAATCACCATGGCGATCAAGGGACGCAGGCCCTCCCGCCCATCAGTTGCCATGGTGGGGGTCCGAGGTTGATGCCTCCCCTGTGCTCCGGCCCTCCTGCCCTCGGATCGCCATGATGGGGGTCCGGGGTTGCGGCCTGGCCTGTGCTCTGGCCCTCCCGCCCTCCAATCACCATGGCGGGGGTATGGGGTTGCTGCCTGGACTGCGCCCCGCACTCCTGCCCTTATATTGTCATGGTGGGGGTACGTGGTTGCTGCCTGGCCTGCGCCCCTCCCTTCCGCCCTTCGATCGCCATGGTGGGGGTCCATGGTTGCTGCCTGGCCTGCAACATGGCCCTCCCGCCCTCCAATCACCATGGCAATTGAGGGACGCAGGCCCTCCCACCCATCAGTTGCCATGGCGGGGGTCCCGGGTTGCCGCCTGGCCTGCGCTCTGGCCCTCCTGCCCTCCAATTTCCATAGCGATCAGGGCTGCAGGCCAGCCGACAACCCCAGCTTTCCCATGGCATCACCGGCTGTGGGGTGGGGAAAGGCAGCCTTTGCCCACCCCCAACTCTTGCCTGCCGCCTGGGTTGCCGATCACCATTGTTCAGTCCTTCCCCTTTTGCCTCTCATCGGTTACCGCCATCTTGGCTGGCAATTAATTTGTATATCTCACAGATTAGCCAATGGGAAGGGTAGCAGTGGTACACCAATTACCATGTTTCTCTTTTATTAGATTAGGTTCCTTCATGAAGCTCATTTCTTTCTTTTTTTATTAAATCTTTATTGTTCAGATTATTACATTTTTTCCTCTTTTTGCACCCATAACTCCCCTCCTCCCAGTTCCCGCCCTACCCTCCACCCTCACTCCCCACCCACTGTCCTCATCCATAGGTGCACGATTTTTGTCCAGTCTCTTCCCGCATCACCCACACCCCTTTCCCCCCAAGAATAGTCAGCCCATTTCCTTTCTATGTCCCTGATTCTATTATAATCACCAGTTCATTCTGTACATCAGATTATTTATTCACTTGATTCTTAGATTCATTTGTTGATAGATGCGTATTTGTTGTTCATAATTTGTATCTTTACCTTTTTCTTCTTCTTCCTCTTCTTAAAGGATACCTTTCAGCATTTCATATAATACTAGTTTGGTGGTGATGAACTCCTTTAGCTTTTCCTTATCTGTGAAGCTCTTTATCTGACCTTCAGTTCTGAATGATAGCTTTGCTGGATAAAGTAATCTTGGTTGTAGGTTCTTGGTATTCATCACTTTGAATATTTCTTGCCACTCCCTTCTGGCCTGCAAAGTTTCTGTTGAGAAATCAGCTGACAGTCGTATGGGTATTCCCTTGTAGGTAACTGAGTTTCTTTCTCTTGCTGCTCTTAAGATTCTCTCTTTGTCTTTTGCTCTTGGCATTTTAATTATGATGTGTCTTGGTGTGGTCCTCTTTGGATTCCTTTTGTTTGGGGTTCTCTGTGCTTCCTGGACTTGTAAGTCTATTTCTTTCACCAGGTGGGGCAAGTTTTCTGTCATTATTTCTTCAAATAGGTTTTCAATATCTTGCTCTCTCTCATCTTCTGGCACCCCTATAATTCTGATGTTGGTATGCTTGAAGCTGTCCCAGAGGCTCCTTACACTGTCTTCGTATTTTCGGATTCTTTTTTCATTTTGCTTTTCCGGTTGGGTGATTTTTGTTTCTTCGCATTTCAAAACTTTGACTTGATTCTTGCGCTCCTCTGGTCTGCTGTTGGGTGTCTGTATAATATTCTTCATTTCAGTCAGTGTATGCTTAATTTCTAGTTGGTTCTTTATCACAACATTGAGGGTCTCATTAGATTTCTTGTAGATCTCATTAAGTTTATCGGCAGTTTCTAGAAACTTATTGAAAGACCTTAAAAGTGTGGTTTTGAGCTCTATATTCTCCATTTCCGTCATGTTTCTTTGTCTCCACATTTTTTATGCTTTCTTGGTGCACCCCCTTGTGGTCTTTGTGTGCAGTCTTGTTGTAGTTAAGCCTTGATTGTTGTAGGTAATACTGGCGGGGATTTGACCTCCAGGACAACTGACTTTGAGAATCAGCTGTGCCTGCAGTGGGAGAACTTCTGTCCTGGATCTCTAGGATGGTGCTAATCTAGCCTTTGCCTGAGGCTATCCGGCAATGCCTCTGTGCAGGGCTTGGGCAGGGCGGGTCCCAGGGGATCTACAGGTCAGCCAGAGCCAGCAGTTATGGGTGCTCTCAGTCCCGTTCCCAGAGGCTCTGCCTCTCAGAGTCCCAGCAACCGCTGCAAACCTCGGAGAGAAAGCTGCCTTCGAGTTCCAACCTAAGCCAGTCAGTCCTACTTCTCCTGTTTGAGTCTGGGTCCCTAGAGACTCGCCCAGATCTGGAGCTCAGAGTCTGAAACTCCCTCCAGATTGAAACAGACAACCGTGCCCTCAGCCACCAGCCCGCTCCGCAGGCACTCCACACCTCAGTATTTGACTTCAGCACTGTGCCTCCTCTGAGTCTCGGTATGCTATTCTCTTTCCTCCTAGTTGTAGAACTTCCACTCAGCCAGCCGTCCTGTGGTTCTGGGTGATGTCCGTTCCCTCTTTTAGTTGTATTTTCGAAGTGGTTGTTCGAGGCAGCAAACTCCGGCGTTAACCTATGCCGCCATCTCGTTTTTTCTTTCAAAGCTCATTTCTAATCCTATGAACCTAAGTTCCTGTATTGTGCTTGAAACATCCATTTTTGATGTTACATTTCCCAAGCGAGTCCACTGGAGATGACCACCATCTACCACAGAGAAAGGATGTCCACTGCAATTATTACTTCTTTTGGTTGGTTTCCTCTCCAACTAAACAGTTTGCAAGCTCTCCTTGACTGGATTTCAAAGTATACTTTGATTGTAGCAAGGCAGATGATATGAATAGTTTAGGTAGCAAAGGTAGTATGCACTTGCTTGTGACCCTAACATTTTATAAGCTTGAGATTAGAGTCATATACAACTTACTATTAAGCAAATATACCAGTTACATGAAATGAAAAAGGATGTTTTAATAATAGCAATAGTTATGATAAAATGATAATGATTATTATAGATAAAATATATGGTGAGCCAGCACTGATTATTTTATATTTATTAACTAATTTAATCTTCACAGCATCTTATGAGTTTAATACTATTATTTATATAGGTCTAAAGTAGAAAACTGAGGCAAAGAGAGGTTTAGTCATCTGTACAAAGTCATACAGTGGAGAAACAATAAAGATAGGAATCCAAAAAGGTACATGCAGTATCTATGAAGTTAGTTGCTTTATAATCAAAACTAGAGGCCCAGTGCATGAAATTCATGCACTGTGGGGAGAATGTCCCTCACCCAGCCTGCACCCTCTCCAATCTGGGACCCCTTGGAGGACATCCCTCTCACAATCTGGGACTGCTGGCTCCCACCGCTCACCTGCCTGCCTGCCTGAATGCCCCTAATTGCTTCTGCCTGTCAGCCTGATCACCATCTAATCACTCCCCTGCCAGCCTGATTGATGCCTACCTGTTCTCCTGCCAGCCTGATTGTCCCCAACTGCCCTCCCCTGCTGGCCTGGTCACCCCCAACTGCCCTCCCCTGTTGGCTCAGCCACCCCTAACTGCCCTCCCCTGCTTGCCTGGTCACCCTAACTTCCCTCCCCTGCTGGCCTGATCACCCACAACTGTCCTCCCCTGCCAGCCATCTTGTAGCTGTGGGCGCCTCCATCTTTGAGTGTGTGGCAGTCAATTAGCATATTCCCTCCTTATTGACTGTGGGTGCTGCCATCTTTGAGGGTGTGGCAGTCAATTAGCATATTCCCTCCTTATTGACTATGGGTGCACAATCTTGAGGGTGGGGCAGTCAATTAACATAATTCCTCCTTAGTGGCTGTGGGCACTGCCATCTTTGCGAGCCTGTGAGAGTCAATTAGCATATTCCCTCTTTATTAATTAGGATAAAGTCTCCCTTCCTACACAGGGCACAGGGAATATGTTTACCCATGTCCCCTCCCTCCTATTCCATTCTACTGCTTTAACCTGCTACAACTTCCAGAGTCCTTGCTTGCTGGCAATTCATCTCATCTATTTTTGTTTGATATCTGTTCATTTCTTTGATGAAGCAGTAGAGTTTGTCTTCACTCAGATGGTGAACATCCATTTTTCTTTCTTTTATTTACCTCTTTTTACTACCTTATTAAAATCCATTGAACAAAGAAGGGGCAGGTATGGGTTGAAGAAGTCCTAAGCTCCACAAAAATACTATCAGATATGTGTGAGTATATTTATGTATATCAAATAATTTGTCCAAAGTCACACAGAAAATAAGTGGTCGAGTGAAGCTTTGACCTCAAGTGGCATGGCCTCCATATCTGTGCAGTTAACAACTGCTAGTTACCATGACTCACATTTAACACTAGAAAGACTGAAATTTAGTATATACCTATATTGCCCAAAAGCAGTCAAAATGACTGCATTGTGAAAGAATAACAAATGTGTAAAGAAATTTGTTTAAAATTAATTTTTAATATTTTGTATAGTATTTATAGTTATATAACAAGGTATTAGTAAATATTAACAAAAAAAATGTACCTCACTTGGAAAAAAAATAATTTATGCATTATTATTTGTACATTTTATGCAAATTAAAGTGGAAATCTTTTTATGTGTACATCTTCCGCAAACATACTTTCGACATTTTTCACATATATTATTTGTTTTGTTGTTGTGGCAAAGTTGTACTTGACAAATTTTGCGTTTCTTAGAATGGGTTGCATTTGATGATGTTGCAGTTGATCTTTGTGGGTCTTCATGTTCTGATGAATTTTTCTGTCTTGCAGCTCTGTATTCGGTGGAAAGCTGTTCTGCTAATTGAAACAAGAACTCTTTTCGTTGTATTTGTATTCCTGTCCTTTCTTTGTAAAGGATCCAAGCATTTATAGCAGCCAAATCTAAAATATTGAAAAATATTTGGAGGGGCCATCTACAAGAACTAGCTTTTACTGTGTATTTTCTGGCCATTTGATCCGCCATATCAACTCAAAATTTTGTGCTGTTATAAAGTTGAATAGATTCCGGTAACATTTTTTTATTACTCTTATCAATTTTCACAAATTTATGCCTACAACTTAGAACAGCTATTCTTTTATTTGGTTTGCTTTTATATATTGTAAGAACACAATTCTCTGATTTATATAGCAGAGTGGAAAAAGGAGGCATGTTATCCTTCGTTTGTTTGGCTGCTTTGGGTAGTTCTCTTTTGTTTCCTCTAATAGTTCCAACTAGAGTTGTTTGTTTGTCCAATAATTTTGTCGCGAGTGACATGCTAGTGAAAAAGTTATGGGTCGTGATATTTCTTCCACAGCCTGTATATGGCTCGACAAGTTTCAGAACAACATGTTCACTGAGAAGCATTGACGATGGTTGCTGTTCATCTTTCCCCAAATAAGGAAAACCATTCAAAACATAGTTGCTACTAACATCTGATGCAAGCCAGAATTTGATGCCAAATTTGTTGGGTTTATTAGGCATATACTGTGTAAACCTGCACCTGGCTTTTGACGGAAATAATTGCTCGCCAACTGTTATATTTTGCCCTGGTTGATAGCAAGCTTGACTCTTTTCAGTGAACTTGTCCCATACTTCCGAAACCAAGGCAAACTTATTTGTTTGTAGGTGCCTACTTCTTTCGGTTCTTCTGTCAAAAGGAATAAATCGTAGGATTTGCTTGAACTTTTCTCTGGCCATAGTTTTCCTGAAGAATTCGGGACCCCACTTTGCTGACCATAAATAACTGAGTTTTAAATTTTTTGCCTCGTAGGCTCCACGAGCATATAAAATCCCAATAAATGCACGTATTTCCGGTAATGTTGTCCAATAGTTCCTCAAAATTCGGCGGCCTTCTTCTGTGCACTTCTTTATATGTTTGATAATATAGTTATCTATTATCAATGAGAATGCACTGATAAGATTATCTGCCATAATGTTCCTTTTTGCGTAGCCTGTTGGCCCTTTCACACCCTTGAAAATACAAGTACATGGTAACCTTCCAGGAATACCACCTTCGTCAAATTTTGACCACACAGTACCATCGGCAGCTGTTTTGGTCTCCTGAACGGTGTGTTCAGTTTCTTCATCAGAGTCTGAACTACTTGGCACCCTACACCTTTTCCTGGGCATATTGATGGCACTTTCCTTTTCATCACTGGTGATCGACTCTTCATCGCTATCTTCAGTGTCAGATGTTTCACTTTGAATATAATCCGCTTCATTTTCAGATGATACTTCAGAATTTGCTGCGTCTGATTCTATATCGGAGCACTCTTCACTTATGTTCGTTTGCTTTTCCAGTAACTCTCTTCTCTTCGACATTTCTTTCATGAATTTAGGGAGCAAAAGAAATACAATAAACAGCCTATTAGAACAAGTATCACTGCATAAAGATTCGAATACCAAGTACTAGTTTACCTTATTGAGCAACTGCAACTTATCAAGTATCGACAATTTATCATGTACTTGTATGTTATCATGTGACGGTAATCGAAAAAAAAAAATGAAAACTGTTATTTCAATACAGAGCCGAACTGTTATTACTCAATTCAATAATAAGAGTCATTTGATTATTTAAAATTTCCCAAGCAGTCAAAATGACTGCTTTTGGGCAATGTAGGTATAACACATATATATATACCGTAAATGAAGGAGGGGGAGGTAACTACAATTATTAATAAACGCATTTATATGTTGTACAAAAAGTCACAAAATTCTAAGACATTGTGTCCTTATATACATAATTGTTTTTCTAATTGAAATTAAAAAGCAGTCAAAATGACTTCCTTGGGCAATCTAGTTAATAATAATAATAATAATAATAATGATGATAATAATTCCATAATAATAGAGTCTACCTTATATGATAGTTATTAGTTGTATGATTCTTAGAGAAATATCTGACACATAGCAGGCATTCAATAATTTTTTGCTATTAAAGGTGAGATTATATTTAGTTATCTTAAAAATGATGGCACATTTTATCTACTTTTATGCATTATCCTTGCCTGTTATCAGCTGACTTTTTTACTTTTTCTCAAACTGACAGGAAAATATGATTTTTGAGGAAATTTTATCATGCATTATCCAAGTTATTTAAGCTATTTTTAAGGGTTGCCCTGTGTCCCAAGAATAAATCCCAAGCTTCTTAAACTCTGCATTCCATAAATTCTCCAGCCCTATATCTAACCAGTCTCCTCACACTCCAGAATACTGAGCTACATCTTACTTCATTTACCCTTTCTTTACTCCTCACAAAACTCCTACCTTCCTTCTTTAAACTACAGCTCAGATGGCATGACACCTGGCCCTGCTTCCCAGTACGTAAAACTAACTGAAGACCCTTGCCATTTTCATTCCTCAGTTATGGGGAGAATACTTAATATTTCCCTACAGACATATCACACTGTGCAATAATAATTTGCTCATTTGTTGAAGCTTCCACCAGTTTATGCCCTTACCAGTTCTGTTTAGTATCAATAAAAGTCCTGATACATGATAATGACCCAAAATATATTAGTAGAGTGAATGCATAAAACATTATTTAATGATTAACATTAAAAGTGTCTCTATGGAAAGAGAACAATGTGAATGTTGGAGCTATAACCTGCTTTTTTTTGCATTTGCATTTGCAAGTCTAAGTATTCAATTATTGTTATGCAGTACTCAAATAAGAGGAAGGGGACTATTGGTACTCTGAAGACCAATTTACAATGATTGCCTGTGGTACAGTGGACAGGGTACTTAGCCAGACAAGATTACAAGAAGAAATATTTATCCTGGAACCAAAGGTTTTAAAAGTGATGTCTAAGACAGAGATAGAAATAGAGGTATGGGCAGTGGATAAGAGGGAAAGAGGGAAAGAAAAAAAGAGAAAAGGAAAAGCATGAAAGAAAGATGAGAGGAAGGAAGAGAGGGAGTAAGGGAAAGAGAAAAGGAAGGAGGAAGACATTTAAAAAGATAATTCTATAGTTACATTGGAAGACAGATACTGAAATGTGTTGGGACAAAGTTGTGTATCAGTCAGTAAAAAATTAAAGGTTTAACTAAAAAGTGAATCTACAGCAGAACTTAGCCAGTTTTTCTTTGTTTCTTCAGAAGGGTCTCCGGGGCTGAGCAAAAGCCAAGCCTACAGTGCCTCTCTCCCCTTCTCAAGACAGAGCAAGTGATTTACTGAGCCCACAAAAAAGTACTTTCTATGTGCTATGCATGCAAAAGTAAACAAGAAGTGTGCAACCTCCTCTTTAATTGTATTTATAGTTCTGGCAGGCAGTGGGAGAGGAATTATTTATAATGTTCCAGCATTGTGCTATGTTCTTTACATGCATTTTCTTCATTTAATTCTTAAAATAACCCTACATTACTGGTGCTATTATTGCACCCATTTTAAAGCTGAGGAAAATGAGGCTTAGAAAAAACAATTCTCAACCCTTGCTGCATGTTAGAGTCACCAAGAAAGCTCTGTGGGGTGAGGCCACAACCCAAGTGAATATAATTTATTTGACCTGCAATGAGTACTAATTGATGAATATATATATTTTTTTTAATTCCTAGGCAATTTCCATATGCAGATAATTTTGAAAAATATTTGGCTTAAGATAAATTTATTATTTACTCAATGTTTCTTTTGTAGTAAGTGGTAAGCCAGGACTGAAGACCCAAGTCTTTCTGATTTCAGCGCTGGAATCCTGTTCCTTGCCATGTCTTTATGCTAATATCAAAAGACATTAAGAATAGAGCAATGTAAGTGTTCACTGAAATAAATGCCTATTACTTGTCTAAAGATACATGATCATTTGGAATATTTGGAAAAGTGCATTAGGAGAATAGTTAAAAAAAAACATGCTAGACATAAAGGTGAGCCACCTCTCTTGGTTTCTATTAGGAGATTTGAAACAAGTTAAGACTTTATTTTATTATCCCCACATAGTCACCTGCTTCCTTCATGCCAAAGCAATCCCTGACACAAGAGATGATGCTGAACTCTATGCTCACCAGCAACCTCTCCTCTTCCAGCAAGATACTGTGATTGCATACACTCAATGCACTCTTCCATTCCGAGTTAGGTGACATGTTCCAAGTGACATGTTTCCAAGTGATTTTCAAGAAATCCCTTGATTTTAATATATTATAGCAATATAATGGTAACATAAAAAGGTTCAAAGGTGGATTTTTTTTAAAAAGAAATAATTTTTGTCTGTGCAGGAATATACAGGGTGTTCAAAAATGTGTATACACACTTAACAGCTAATAGTTCAAATGATGTTTATTTCTTTTCAGATTTAACCTGCTGTAATTAATGATATTCAGAGTGTGTACACATTTTTTGGGACACCCTGTATATTAAAATATCAGGCCATATGGTATTTCTGCTGTAGAAAATAATAGTAGAATTGATCTTAATGAAATTTAGAGAAGCAAACCACCAAACAAGGCTTATGTTCAATTTAAACAATGCCATCTCCTGATTTTTATTCTCTTCCATGCTTAAATTTGGCAAAGGTTTTGGTTGCCCCTTGTTTTCTCAGAACATCAGTGAGTCTTTAACGACCAGTGAAAATTAGGACATTAAATGTTAGTCAGCTGGAAGATTTCTAAAAATTCACTCACTCACTGCCTTCACTGCAGAGAGACAAAACTCATTTGTGTGTGAACCTTGATGCAGAGCTGACATGTTTTGAGAAATGGTTAAAGACATTTATTTCAATTAATTCCTAATATGCTCCCTCAATCTTACATTCTGATTCTGATTCTCTTCAATTTATACCTATAGTTTGATCATCTCTTCTTGATTATTGGTTTATTTTTAGTATATATTATGTTACTCTTAAATGGTTTACTAAGGTAAAGAGTTTCCTTATTTTTAATGTATTTATTTTAAATATTAAAATAAATATTTTGAAGATATTACTTAATTATGGCAGCTTGGACATATAATGGCCTCCTCTTCTACACTACACCACAGTGAATGAGACAAAGGAGCATAATGAGGTCTAAAATCTCAAGAACCAAAAGAATAGTAGAAAAGGTAACCATAGCAAGAGATTCTAACAAATCTTTGGAAGATTAAAAGAAGATGGAAAATGGGTGAATCCTATTTAACAAAATGGAAAAAGCAACACTAATTCCTTTAAATGAATAAATAAATAAATAAATAATAATAATAATAATAATAATAATAATAAAACATTCAAGGGGCTTCAAACTTAAAGGTTCCAGAATGAAGATGTAAGATGTAGGCTGAAATGGGAATGGTTGGTTAAACGTCTGTACACAGAGAGGATGAATACCATGGTGCCAGCTTCTCACCACTCTACTCGGAAACATACCCTTGGAAATATATATATTTTCCCCTAGGAAATATACCCTTGTTCTCAGTGGAAATTGGAGAAGCGCCTTGAAACAGAGGACAAAGGAAAAAGCAGAAGTTATAAGTAAGGCTCAGGGCTGAAAAATGAGAAATCAATTGAAAGTCTAGAAATAATTGAGGGAATCTGTTCACTGCAGAGAGCTGCAGTTCCCAGAACATTGGGTGTCAGGCAAATGCCTACTAGAGATAGAGGAGCTTCATGGCTTTGCAATTTCTGAGTCTCTGAGGACCATGCTTTGAACTTAATGCTCTGCTGTTGCTGTCAATATTCTTAATTTTTCAAGAAGGAGCTCCGCATTTGCAGTTTGCAGTGGGCCTCGCGTATTATGTGGGGTTGATCGGAAGTCAATTTTCTAGAGAAAAATGTCCAAAGAGAAAAGACTTCCAGATATTGGCAACCTTGGCTAGGAACACCAAGAGTTTAATAAATTCTTTCATGCCTCACTTTTAAATATGAATGGACATCAAAAAGTCAGAAACCATTTGAGAAAGCTTATTATATAGAAGAAAGAAGAAAAACCAAGCAAAACGTAGAAATAAACCCAGAGAAAAATTGACACAGAGAAAAGAGGAAGATGTCTTCATGTGACAAAACTGAGAATGTGATTGAACAAAATGAAGTCATTTTGAAAAAGGAAAAAACAGAGGATTCTGCATAAGTTGTGTGCCCATGACCAGCCTTGTCTCTAGTGGGCATTTATTTAACTTCTCATGCAGAAGAGGAACAAAAGGAATACCAAAGATGAGCGTTCTGGCCTAGAGAACAAGCCTTCCTTTTGGGAGTAAAACAGCCAAGTGGTCTGAGGAATATCAGCAGGAAAAATAATTAAATTGATAGAGTATTGAATTTAAGCATTTTAAAATTATATTGTAATAGTTTTTAAAACTGTTGGAATATTTGGACAAGTAAAGTACAATGCCATAGAAAATTAAGCAAATACAGAAGAAATCA